TGCAGACAGCCTCCAAATCATTCAGGTTCCGAGGTTGTCGCCTGGCAACTCGAATTTTAAGCTCCCTCCAAAGATTTTCAATTGGATTCAGGTCTGGAGACTGGCTAGACCACTCCAGAACCTTGATGTGCTTCTTCTTCAGCCACTCTTTTGTTGCTTTGGCGGTGTGCTTAGGGTCGTTGTCGTGCTGAAACACCCATCCTCGACCCATCTTCAGCTCTCTCACTGAGGGAAGGAGATGTTGGTCCAGAATTCCACGATACATGGCCCCGTCCATCCTCCCCTCAATACGATGGAGTTGTCCCGTCCCCTTGGCTGAAAAGCACCCCCAAAGCATGATGTTGCCACCACCATGCTTGACGGTGGGGATGGTGTTCTTTGGGTTGTACTCGGTGTTCTTTGCCCTCCAAACACGACGAGTTGAGTTGAGGCCAAAAAGTTCTATTTTGGTCTCATCTGACCACATCACCTTCTTCCAGGCCTCTTCTGAGTCGTCCAGGTGGTGAATGGCGAACTTCATGCGGGCCTGTACATGTTTCTTCTTGAGCAGGGGGACCTTGCGTGCGCTGCAGGATTTCAATCCATGACGGCGTAGTGTGTTACCAACCGTTTCTTTTGTAACTGTGGTCCCAGCTGCCTTCAGTTGATTCATCAGTTCCCCCCTTGTGGTTTTCTGATGATTCCTCACCGTTCGCATGATCAGGGACACCCCACGAGGCGAGATCTTGTGTGGAGGCCCAGACCGAGGGAGGTTGGCGGTGGTGTGGTGCTTCTTCCATTTCCTGATAACTGCACCGACAGTTGATCTTTTCTCTCCAAGTTGCTTTCCGATTCTCTTGTAGCCCATCCCAGCCTTGTGCAGATCAACAATCTTGTCCCTGATGTCCGTAGAAAGCTCTTTGGTCTTGCCCATGGTGGTGATGTTGGATGCTGGTTGTTTGGGTGTTGACAGGTGTCTTTTATACAGGTAACGAGGTGAGGCAGGTGTATTTGATGTAGATAATTGGTTGGGATTGGGGCTGTGTCTTAAAGAAAGACTAACTGGCTTGTAGGAGCCAGAATACTTGCTGTTTGTCCAGGGGGTCATATACTTGTTTTTCCTCATCAGATGGTTATCAATTTTAATAAATTCATATGATGTGATTTTCTGGAATTTTCTTTGGGATTCTGTCTTTCACTGTTAGAATGTACATATGATTAAAATTGTAGATTGTTGCATTCTTTGTAAGTGGGCAAACCTGCAAAATCAGCAAAGGGTCAAATACTCATTTCCCCCACTGTAATGTGTCTCACCTACTAGCGGTGTATCTGAGAAAATAAATCAGACCATGACCACATGTGATAAATTGAAGAAAGTAGTAAATAAGAGATAAAAAATACATATTTTAAAAAACTCATTAACTACTGTACACATTAGGGCTTTTCTGTACGGCCCTGTGTTTTTTCTGACAGCAGTCAACAGTTCAGTCCTCTCCGGTGTTAGGGCTCAGTCAAACTAAAACATTCCTTGATTTAATAACAAACAAATGCATTTAAATGATTGCCCTAGTTTCTAAATAGCTAAGTGCTTTTACTTTTACCCATAAAGCAATGGTGGGCCCTGTGGGCCAAATACAACCCTCAAGCAAAAAATTCATTTTCACCTTCATTCGTTACATTCAAGCCTTTGCATAATCTTTCATAAATCTACTGTAACAATATGAGGCTTGTGTAAATCCTTATAAACATGACATTGTAACTTCTAACACTGTTAGCCCACGTGAAGTGAGGAATGCATACGGAGGTTACTCTGCCTTATTTTGCACCAGACTATTTTACCAATGCATGGTACTGAAATGAAGTCAAATGAACTTAACCAGAACGATAAAAAAGAGAAATAACAATGACAATAACAAATGTGTGTCTCACAAGCACAAATAGGTGGCAAAGAAACAACATCCTGATGACATTCAATATGTCTGAAGGCATCAACAGCAACCACAACAGTACTTTCATTCAACTATAACTAAGCCTGACTACCACTGATTTTTTTCCATGGATAATATATCAATTACATTTCTGAGTGCAACACATACAACATACATTTGCATACGTGAATCATGTATAATACACATAGTATTAGCATAAGCTGCAAAACCACAATATATTCAAAACATGTAGGCCTGTGCTTACACCAAGTCTGTAAAATAAAGATTTTACAGGGGAAATAATGTGTACACGGTAAGATAGAAGAATATTCCTTCAGATTTGTGAAGTGAATGAAGTCACGAAGAGGACGTAATTATCTGCGAGGGAGTGTGGAGTCTAATGTGATCCATCAAACAAAATGACAAAAATAAAAGCAGGGGACTCATGACAGAAAATTTGCTTTTTTTGTTCATGTGGGATGTTTTTATTGTGCTCTTCCACTACAAACCAAGATCGCCAATTCTAGTGAAACACCTCCCTCTTGTGTTCAGCTTCAAAACTGCATCATTCAGGCTTTGTCCAAATGTGTTTCATTAAGGAAAACGATCAGTTCAGCCAGGTTAACTTCGCAAATCAGGTTTATTTTAAATAAATAAATGAAAACTATCCATTCAGACTAGTGTGTTCCACATACCTGCCTCAAAATATCTTTATTATCTTTATTTTTTTGTTTGTTTGTTTTGTTGCTTTAGGCCATTTAAGTGCAAACACAGACCAAGTAGCACAATCCAACAATTAGAGAGAGCTCTAGTTAATGTTATTTTCTTGGAAATAAGACATTTTCAGGGGTCATATTTGATACTTTTAGTTTAAGGTTGTTTATGTTAATGTCATGTTGCCTCTAGCACACCTATGTTCAATTTTAAGGGCCTGTTCTACAAAGCAGGATTTGACATAAGCGATGTAACTTCAGGGTTTGCAGTCCTACCACACTCCTAAGTCTGTTGCCTGTTGCAGCAGTTAAAATAATATTAATATAAAATATTATGAGCATATTTTTGGTATTTATTAGTTTACTATGAATTTGTTTCTTATAACTTTGGGTTTCATTTGTTTCTTATATAGCGCCCACCTTTTGCTATCTGGGCAGGTAATGAGGTGCATTTTCAGTAAAGGTTGAGATTCAGTCTTTCACCACTATTGGAGCACTTTTTAAGGCATGAATGGATTTTTCATTTCATTGCTTTACAAAGCTAATTGAGAACAATGTTTGAAACATGGTGAGCATTAAATAAATGAATCTGATGTTTGAAGGAGTGAGAAGTTCTTAAAGGGTGGTGATAGGGTAGTGGATAAGATGCATGGCTTTGGTCTGAGAGACCTGGGTTCACGTCCACTGTAATACACTAATGTGTCCCTGAGCAAGACACTTAACCCGTGTGACCTCTGACATATTGTATATTGCATTTGTTAGTGCTTGCTCTTGGTGGGAACTGTCGGGTTTCTGTAAATATCACCACAGAGTGCCCTGTTTCAGAAAGCAGGTTCAACAAACTCTGAGTGTAAACCTGAACTCTGAGCTGTCAAACTTTGTCAAAGATTTCCGTTTCAGAAAGGCCGATCAGAATAAGTTCAGTCAACTCAAGAGTATGTTGAGCCTGATGGAAGCGCGTGCGTGGGGATGAAAAAAAGCCATCATCTATAGAGCACATTTGCACATTTTGTTTAAAAAAAAAATTCTGTTACATTTTTTTAATTTTAATCTTGATGATTAGAGCTCATGGAAATCAAAACTCCAGTATCTCAAAACTATTCGAATTTTAGAGTAAAGAATTTATAATACAGAAATGTGACCCGAGAAGAGCTCTAATCAGCTGATTAACTCAAAACACCTCCAAAAGGTTTCCTGAGCCTTCAATCTCTGTCTGGTTCTGGTGCTAACAACGCACTTTTTCACATTGTGACTGATCTGCACAGATCTCAGGGCTGGTATTGATCAAGCTTCTCAAGTGCCGTTTTAGTCTTAAGTCCTACTTTCAAACTTAAGTATAAAAGCAAGTTATCAAATTTCTTAAAGCGGAGAAGCACTCTCACTCTCCCAGTTATTTAAGACAGTTCCAGAGGTCTCTCAGGTGGTTAGGGCTTGTGATGGCGCTGTGGAGACAGAGTGATGCGCACATCTTTCAGGAGAGGAAGAATGTTTCTGAATTATTTGACGACGTGCACTTAATTAGACGGGGTCGGACAGCGCAGGCATAATCTTTGTCAGCGAGTTGGTGAGGGATGTCATCTGACTTTACGCAGCAGCAAGTTTTCAGCTAAATTGAAGGTTGTTTGCTTTGTTTATTTGCCACAGGACAAACGCAGCAATGCTGATGATTGAGAGCCATCACAACCATCAATAAGCCAAACTGTCATGAAAACAATTATGGCACCTACAGCTCCACACACTGTCATGCGTATCGACTTCCTATCAACACCCTGCTTAATCAACAGGAGCAAACACAATTCATGCAAATAGCCTGCTTTCCAGGAGTCATAGGTGCAACTGATGGCACTCATTGAAAGATCAGTGTTTTTATCTTTCATTTCCAATGTGTCCGTAGCCTATGTACATAATGTATTCTCTTAAAAGTTCTTAATTGTCCAACGTCTGTTAAATATAAACTCCTCTTAGGAATTTCACCATTCAATGTGAATTTATCTGAGAATATTCTTAAATAAGGATATCTACTCAGTGATTGGTCCTCGCCTACACCAAAATCCTGTTTGCAGCACAGCAAAGTGTTGTGAAGACTGACACTTAAGATTTAGTCCTACACTTCACTAAAATTAGAACTGAGATGCTTGATAACTAACTTTTAAGCACAGCTTTGAGCCAAGATTTTTTTACTCTTCAGTCGGTTCTTAGCAGTTTTCTTATGAGTAATTCTGAGAGGCTTGACAAATACGGGCCCTGACTTCATCCAACACCTCTGGGATGAACTGAAAAGCCATCAGTGATAGAACTCACTAATGAACATGTGGAGCAAGTCCGTACAGCCAGGTTTTGGCCATGTAGTGCACGTAAAAACTGACATTTCCAAGAGAAATGCAGATGCAAAAGATGACCATCTTTATTGATAATTTAATTGACCACTAAAGCTAGTAAAATCATTTTTAGATACAAGAACACTTTCTGGGAACAAAAGCATCAAGATTCTGCACACAGAAGTCTACATTCATTCATAAACAAATAAATTAAAACCTGAATATAAGCACAACTAATCTTACATACCAACATCATAGGTTATAGACTGGGAGCATTTTTGGAACACAAAGTGTGTCGGCTGTGCATACATATGTAAGCCAAAGTTACCAGGCTGGCAGTTCAAAGGGAAAATATGACAGAAAAGAACCTCACAGAAAAAAAATTTAAACTGAGGTGTCTAAGTAGGCCTAGTGGTTATGATACACATCACAACCACAAGTTTCCGTCATGGAATTTGGGTTTGTGGTAAATCTTTGTTTCCAAAGAATGATGACTTGATTCAAAGACCAAATGAGATGAGCAGAAGCAACATTGGTGTACTGAAACATCATTAAGTCTCAGCAGATTAAAAAAACAGTTGAGATATGTGGACAAATCATGTACTCTAGCCATTTAGTTTCCATTTCCTTAAATGTAACGTGGTTGAGGTATCTTGACATTTCTAGTATAAGAGCCAACAATGCTGGATTCTACATTTCCCTTAATGCAACACAAAAGCATCTTTCTTTCAACCCTCCCTGCCTGGTGAATGACCGTGCATTTTAAAAACACAACTTCTGGCTTCTCAGACTTGACCAAAGAAAACATACAACCGTTTTTTTCAAGTTGAGTAGTATTCCTCACGATGAACTTAATTGTAAATTGTAAATGTAAAATTGATGGAGTGTTCCTTTAAGTAAGCTCTTCTTTATATTTTTAAGTGGGAACAGAGTTAATACAGCTGAACAGATTCCCAGAGACAGTATGAGCCACGTGTGACAAACATGCGGTGAACACCTGTGAATTTCAACGCAAACCCAAAAATGATATTTTCCACTGAAACCAATTTGATTAGCATATGAAGCTTCATACAGCGTAACTGAGTGAGGTACTGCTGTAACTAACACAGTCTAAGTCAATTTCTTTTTCTTCGTGAGTTTATGGTTTCTTTTCACAGCAGCACACATCTTGGAAAGAGCTGAAACAGGGAACGCCAGTTTCACAGTCCTTGTATGCGTGGGACTGTATTCACACAGTCACCTGGGTATGTGTCCGAGTCCTTTAGGAGGTCCAGCGCCACCAGGCAACCTTCATGCGGTCCCAGACAGCCTCTAAAGAGTCGTACGCGGGGCGTACATCCAGGATCGAGAACTGGTAGGTGTCTTTGTTGATTTCACCGTCATAGTAATCGATGACGTAGCGGACCTCCTTCCCACAGCGGTCAACAATCCAGTCGTGGCGGTCAAAAGGCAGCTCGTAGCTAATGAGGAGAGGTAGAAGGCAGAAGCATGAAAGAAATGAATTAATTTAAAAAAAAAAAAGATATGGGAAGCTGGTATCTGGTACTTTAAAGCTGCATTGGGCAATTCTGCACACTGGAAGTCACTAATGGCAGCAAGATGTGGCTGTACACAAGGAGTGATGCTTTCCACCAATTAAATGGCAGAAAGAGGTTGGTAAATAAAGTAGGGCTGTATGATTTCCATGATGCAGAAAACAAGTTCGGAATCACAGATTCGGTAGTACTAAACTTGCAACAGCGACGAACATGCCTGAGACCACAGCCGAAGATGAGCAGCTGTTAAAATCACACATGGACACAGCGCCTGCAGGCCTTTTTTTAATACAGTTTATGGTGCAGCCACATAAGGGAAAAAAAGGCGTGCTGTTCTCTTTCTTTTGGTGTGTTGCTTGCGTGTTTGGCTGCAAGCAATACCATACAGACAACTCATTTTTTTGACTCAATCTGGTTACAAAAAGTTTTGAATGAAGTACTGGTTTGACTGGAGACGTTTCAATTCTACTTGATACTGGGCTGTTTCGGTCGATACCATAAAAGTATCGAGTAGTGATACCCATCCCTAGTGCTACATGATGCTCACCTGTCTCATGCAGCTGTGTGAATAAAGTAGCTTGTCAATCTCACTTTACGTGAACCGACCAATCACAGCGACCAAAGCACAGAGTTTCTGCTGCCACACCATCAGACTGCAGAACAGCCCCCCCCCCCAAGCTATCAGACTCTTAAACTCTAATTCATCCTCAGCTCTGCTCCACTGATCATAGTTTATTTCCGTTTACCATTTTTCACAATTGATTCTTTATTAATGTATATTGCCTGCTATGTAGCAGAAGGGAGTTACAAACTCAATTTCACTATATAACCTGATATATTATGACAAAATAAATCTACCTACCTATTACAACAGCAAGTTATTAAAATACTATAATACAATTTAATGGGAACAGTTCACAAAGAATGCATTGTTGCAGTACATGTCAAAAATATTGACTCTCTTATACTTGTCTATTCTGAATATTTCAAAAGGTTTTAATATTCCTTTTCCACAGTATTCTCCCCGACAGCGAGCTGAAACCCCCCCGCTGCAGTGCCCACACAGCACCGCCTCCTGTCACTCACAGCGCTTTCTTCTCGTCTATAGATAAAGCTCACCCCATCCAGTGGCGGACGCGAGCCCTCGGCGAGTACTCTTTGGCTTTACCACCAAACCTCTTCAAGGTGGGCCCACATGGACATTCACTGCAAGCAGACACAAGATAAATCACTCAAATCACTCAAAACTTCAGTCAGTACGTAGAGAACATGGGTTTCTATTTCATGCTACTGTTGTTTCCATGGAAAGCTTGTTATTGTATATTTGTAAAAACATCTGCCTTTCAGTGAAGAAGTAACAATTCTACATTAGTCTCAAAATGGTTAGAAACTGAATGGAAAGCTGTAGGCTTTGTTCTTTTACTCACCGTGCATGCAGGGCCTCCCATTTCAGGATCTCCTGCCAGGCCTGCTCGTTGTTCGTGTTGTGGATTTTAATAATGTTGGTCATATCTTTAGGTGCAAGGTCATCATCACGCCAGCGCCACCTGCAGCACAAAGACTGACTGTTAATCAAATCAAACACCCCTGTCAGCTCCATAACCGTAACTTTCCTCCAGCACAGCGAGCTGGCATATTGGCACAATCCTCCGGAAAATAAAGCAGTATGAAAGAGACTACATACAGACTCACCGGGAGACCGCTTCACACAACATGCTGGAAACTCAGGTAAACTCCCACTGCAACGATACTGTTACATTTTTATCAGCTGCAGGTTGAACTCATCCATGCTCGTTAAATGATAACGGTAAATTTACTGGATTTAGCTGACGTGATACATCAGCGTTAGCTCGCCTGTCTGACCCGGTGCCTCCACATTAAAAGCAGAATAGTGATGCTTCTTGCGTTCCGTCAGCATTACGTTGTCAACTGGCATTTGGGTCGGGGTCTTCTGCGTTTGCATCGCGGTGCATCTGGGAGTCTTTGTTGTTTTTTTAAAATTTGATTTATTCTTTTTCTTTCTTCCACCCCTATTGGCTACTGGGGTTCTTGCCTGCCTGTTACAGTCGTGGCGTCCCACTCTCTCTAACAACTACATTCTTTAACAGGCTTATGCGCACACACGTACACACACACATACAGACACATTCACCCACACGCACACAGACACACACAGACACAAACAAACTTAGGTTGTCCCTGGTAGAATTATTCCTGATGCCTTTCTTTCAGTTACTTATTTAAATTAATTATTATTCCAGCTCTCGTGGCTGTGTTGTGTTGCTTATTTAGTGTGTGTGACTGTTTCTTGTTTTCATTGTTCTCTTAGTTGTCTTAATATGTCATTAATATGTCAGCTGTTTATTGCTGCTGTTCGGCTGGTTGTCTTTTACTATTATTATTATTTTTATTGTTTTTTTGTTTGTGTTTGTTTGTTGTGTTTTTCTCCTCCCCAAGCCCCCCTCTCTGTTCTATAGCAGGTTTCGTTGCTTTCTGCAATTGGTGTTTCCCACAGCTTTTCCCTGTTGTCCCCACCCTCCATCCCCCTTTCCCCCTTCTCTTACAGGTGTTGTCCTTTCTCTGTGCTGTCTGTTTGTGCCCCCCCATCCCCGTGTCTGCCCCCCTGTCCGGCCCGGTGACAAATCAATACATAATTAAATAAATAATAAAACAGACAAAGGAGTATTTTAATACTCTCTTGTTAAAGTAAAATCTGTCTGGCACAATATGGTATCCAGGTCATTATACTCTATACCAGGCTGCTGGGCAGGACAGGTTTAAAAAAAAAAAAAAAAAAAAGCAGAATAGTGGCTGTTCCAAGCAACAGAGAAAACAGGTGTGGGCTTCTTTCTAAGTGAGGCTACAGCCCACTGACAAAAAGGAAGTAAAACAGTAATTTATTAATAAGTGATTGCCTTTTTAATGTCCATGGTATATGCTAAGCATTTAAGATTCATATTTTAAAAATGTTTGCATGTTCTCCTCGTGTCTGTGTGGGTTCTCTCCGGGTGCTCCAGCTTCCTCCCACCGTCCAAAGTAGGGCTGAAGCTAACGATGATTGTAGTATTCTAAGCTTCGATAGCAGCAGCGGCGGCGGCGCTTTCTGATAAGGTGCTTTCGTGCTGTTGCCCAGGCGACATAAGTTTCGTTTTACGGTGGACGGATGGTAACATTACAGAGTTGTTTTCTTTATCTTGAAATAATCCCATACTTTGGACACTTTCTTTTTTGTCCCTCGCTGTTTTCCTCCACTGTGCAAACAGCGGCATTATACGTCCTGTTCACAGGAAAAGCGCGATGTGCGACAGTAATAAATTTCTGTGCTGTAAAATTACATGGATTAAATGAAGCATTGATGCAAAGAATTTGTGTTGATGCATTTTATTAATCGATTTAATTGATGAATCATTTCAGCCCAAGTCCAAAGACATGCGGCCAAGGTTGATTGGTGACTCTAAATTGTCCTTTGGTGTGAGCGTGAGTGGTTGTTTGTCAATGTGTGGCCCTGCAATGGACTGGCGACCTTTCCAGGGTGTAGCCCGCCGTTCGCCCAATGTCAGCTGGGATTGGCTCCAGCCCCCCACAACCCTGTACGCAGGATAAGCAGTTGACGACGGATGGAGGGACGGATATTAAAAATGCATTCATTTCAAAACACACCATTTTTAATTCAAGGAACATGAGAATAGAGTCAAACTAGTTCTAAGTCTTAGAAGCAAAGTACTTTAGGTATATGTGTATTTTAGGGCTGGTCCCAAATATCCCAATAACAGTTGTTACAATTAACAAATAATACCAAATTATGCAAAACAAATACAAAAGTAAAGTGCACTCTTTATTTTCAGGTTCATTTGGTTTGAGTCTTATCAATATTAGTTGTATCATTAATTAGTGCTCGTATGTTTCTTAAATCAGATCAAGATGACTTGTGTATTTCTGTGGTCTGTGAGTTGTGAAGAAAAGACAAGAACACCAAATCTAATCGCTTATATAAATGTGAACCCTCACGTTAATCTGAAAGGTCCAAACGGTGGGAAAAAAGCATCATCTACTCACCCTTTCCTCAGTCGGAAATCATCGTCTGGTAACTGTATCCATGTCTAAGCACAACTTTCAAAAAAGGCAAAAAGAACATCCAATACACCTATCTTCTCAGTGCTCGTTCCTCCACCAATCTATTTAAATGTTTTTATTACAAAATACAGGGTTCCCTATAGCTGTACACATACATATACAGCTACATTCTTGCTACGCAACAGTTAAAGGTCGAGTGTGTAAGTTCTAGTGACATCTAGTGGTGAGGGTTGCAAATTACAAGAATTTCAACTCCCCCTCCCCTATCCAAGCGCGTTGTATAGCTACGGTGCCTGAGACAGGACAAAAGATGTCATCTATGAGATAGAAGACTTTGCCAATCAAGAAATTAGGTTTCTTTAGATAGATGTGTTGAGAAATTATATAAATCATGTAAAATCATCAACAGCCACATGAAGAAATGAAGTGCTAGATGATGTCTCATACTCCTGTAATACAGTATTTTACATCTTGGGAGGGTTGGCTCATCTGGACTAACATACCAAAGTAAATGAAGAACATCTCAAACACTATCACATCTAGTGCATCAAGTATGACCACTGACAGAAAACAGGACAAGCACAAAGTACAAATTACACATTTGTGTGCACAGTGGGGAAGCAATATCAAATATTAATAATGCAAATTTGTGAAGTATTCATTATTGATAGGCAAACGGTCACGTTATATGTCACTATTAGCAGTAAAATAAATACATGTTTTCCACCAGGGCAGTATTCAACAATTTTAGCTGCTGATCTGAGCTTCCCTGCTGTTACAGCTTTATTGCCAATAATGTTAATATTCATCAGCGGTTTGTCTCAGGAAGGTAACGGCACATTTCAGTCTCGTAACAAAGCCATAACAGAGCGCTGTAGAATAACTACATTAAATTACAATCCAACTACGTATTTTTTCTAAAAGTGCAGTAAAAGTTTAGCTGGCTGATCTGAGCTTTGATACTGGAAGCTGCCGTTTTACTGCCAAACGTAACTGGCAATGCCAAACCACAGGCTGGAGAGTAACTAGGCGACGTTAAATTAATCCAGCTACATGTTTTTCCTTCCAGGGCAGTAAAAGTTTAGCTGGCTGACTGCTTCCATGCTATAAGCTAACATTTTAATGCCAATTACTGATCAGCCAAACCACAGCCCGGAGAATAAGTAGGCAACATGAAATTAATCTAACTACATATTTCTCACCACTGACAGGGGAGACACCTCACATCTCTCGGTGATTATGGCCAGCTTCTAGCTAAAGCTATCAAACAACAGCTTTCATTTGCATCGCTAAAGTCTGACAAACTTAAGTTAATTACCTGTCCAGCAGAAAACAGACAACTTCAGCACCGCTTTGAAAACATCTGTCCCACATTATATAGCCTTCCATCTGGGAAAATCCACAACATTCCTGATTTTTTCCGTCAGCTGTCTGCATCTGTCCGACTCCTCTGGCTTCACAGTATAAAGATCCACATGCTGTCGGCTCTCGTGCTAAATAACATGTGTGCTCGTTTGTTTGCCCAAATTCTCTTCTTACTTCCAATAAACCAGAGGACTACTTGGAGACTGTTTATTACTATTATTATTCCCTCTTCTTCTTCTTTGTACGTATTCAATGTAGTGACGGGCGTCTACACTGCCAGAATTACACAAGCAGAAGAAGAACGCCGTGATGACGAAACGCGATCTGTAGCGCTGTTTGTTCGTTGTCGGCTACTGTAGAAACATGACGACAAAATACAGCAACCTCCATAGAAGGGAGTGCCCGCAGTTTATTATGTAAGGTCTTTAATACACCACTGAAAACACAGTTATGGATCACATTTCTGTCAATAGATGCTCAGAAATATTACACACCGAACCTTAAAATACAGACATAAAAATCTTTCACAAATCTTCAAGTATTTACATTTTCTGTTTGGAAGAGTTAGGGAAGTGTTTTGGTTTTCCAATTTGTTCAACTCAACAAACACACTGTACAATTTGCCATGGCATCAGCCAAATGTGTCTATTACAGTGTTCCTTCCCATGAGCATCAGTCTGCTGTTCCAGCCCTGTATCAACCACCACAAGCTGTCACTCTCACTACCGGTGCACAGAGCCACTGTAACTGTACATGTAGTAAAGCAAAAACTGTCATGTATGCCATAACCCTTCAATTGCACAGCTGGCCCTAAAGGTCAATTAAGTGAAAAATGTCAACTGCACGACTCTCGTGAGATAGCTTTTACCCAGAAGAAATATCGCCACATTTTAATCTCACATCCCTAGTCTTTAGCCTAGGTGTATTTATATAGCCGGAACTGTGCATAGTGACCATAATCTTGAATGTATGCTTTCCTCTCTTTCTACTTAATAGTACAGCCATAGGTATGATTATAGTGCTTTCAGACCAAATGCGAATTTAATCCTCGCGGCGCTTTACTTGCGTGAGTACATTCACTGCAAGTGTTCACACACAACGCGAGAAGACGATTAGAACCCGCGAAAATTCGCTCGAGTCAGAAATTTTCAACTCACGCAAAGGCCTTCGCACCGCCCGACAGGAAATTGTGGCTCTACGCGTCTTTGCACTGACTTTGTATGTAAACTCACCGTCCCGAACGCTCGCTTCGCTTTTGGTCTGAAAGCACAGTTAGACGTGGAGACTGGCAGGCTAAGGCTCCGATCAGACAGTGCGCTGTCACTTCTCACTGCAAAAAACACGTTCTGTCTGATCCGGGCCTAACAGTACTTATTATTGGGGGATAATAAGTACTGTAAATCTAGTGGGGGCTAGATTTACATTTTGTGGGTAGAGTTATTAGCGGACACACTGGAAAACCTACAGTCTGTGCTATATTTCTGCACACACATCTGGTGAGCTGGCAGAAGAAAGCCATACAGTTATGGACTGACCCTTTCCGCAGCATGGCGTTCCAGAACATCTGCTCAGACGGGTAAACCCATTTCTTCTCTGTGTTGTGACGAGGAATGGTGGACTCCTCTCTGGAGATGGACAGCTCAAAGGGCTGGTCTGGAGCTGGAATTTGATTAGGAGGAGGCATCTGTACACACAAAGGGAGGTAAGCAAGTTCATCAACACGATCCACACTTTCATCTTTAAAATGTGACAGAGTGAATTTGTGGTGTTTTATGGTTTATGACAACAGAGTTCAAGGACATAACTCATTCAGGAGAGAACAGACTCAGAAGAAAATGTAAGGTACTGCATGATTTTTATTTTCTTGTTTTGAAAATTGCAATCCTGTGCAAATGATACTTTAGTCAAAAGACAATATTTTAAAAACTGCATGATACTTTTGTTATTTATACATTTTATATTTGGCTTTCATACAGTCACTCTCTTCCCCATCTACCACTCCCTCTCTTCCTACACTAAAGTGGTGCACATACCATATTTGCTGGGTCGATGTCACTATTCATGCCGGCTGCAGCTTTCATGGGACACTCCACGAACTCATAGGCCCGTTCCTGGTGAGCTGGACCTGCCTCTGCTTGGTGCATGGGACACTCTGATGGAGGAGACGCTACAGGAAGCAAAAACACCTGATTGAGGCATAAAAAGGCTACAAAACCCTGGCCAGTACTATAACTTTCGATGATTTCAACAATACAATACTATGTACCTTAAAATATGCAAAACAACAGTCAAGAAAAGAAAATCTGCTACACTTGTATAATGTTTAATTGGCAAATACAACAAAGGAAAGCTTTACAACAATTGTGTTTGTGTCAACAAATCTTAATAACCTGTAACTTATTCATCAGTGTTTCAAGGAAATAGATTTGCTTAAGCGGTATAGGCATGCTACAAATAATTTAACAGGCCTGCAGGGCAGTGATACCTTTTACAGGCTGAGCCTGATGCATGGGACACTCTGAAGGTGGAGACGCTAAGAAAGGCACATAAAGACAAACATTACAACATGCCAACACAATTTTAACAACCATTATTAAAAATGAAATAAGATAGCATGATATAATAGCTAATCCCTCCCGCAGCAGCACCTTTGACGGCCTGGGCTTCTTGGTGCATGGGGCAGCCCTGAGGAGGGGCGGCCATCATGGCCTCTGCGTTAACTGTAGGAGCAGTAGGTGTGGACAAGGAGGCTCCCATCCTGTCTGTCTGATGTGGAAACAAACACACATAAAACATAAAGACAGTCACTAGAGTTTATGCCAGATGCACGGGCAAGGATAACTAGCGGTGATCACTGGAGCCAGGAGGTACTGAACCTCAATAGAATCTAAAACTGTCAGTACTGAAGGCTGGCCTGAATGCTTGGTCTGCCTCACAGGTTGGAGTACTTGTACAACAACAGCCCTGTATTAAATACTAATTGGGCACAAATATCTAAATAATACTCTGCCCACATCCATGAAGGCAGACATGAAACTGCTTTATGGAAATAAATTCTCACCTCACAGATCTAAGAGCTCACTTCGACAACACACTTTCTAGTTTACTGAATCAGTCCAGTTATCTTAGCAAAGGCAGCCGTTTGAGGGGGGTGTACACCTCAAAGACAGTCACAACTCAGATGGCTTAGCACAAGGCAAACAGGAGCATCACTGAAATGACGTTATGTTAACAACACAGCAGTTACAGAACATGAGCGTAACGTTAGCTAACGTGATGATGAACGTGTAACGTTAAGTCAAAAGTTTACATTTGAAATAAGCTCTTATGGCATAACACTTTAACATTTTATGTAAACCGGCAGAGTCGCTGATACTTTATTCTTCGAGGAGTTCTCCTTGACTAACCTCCCGGTTAATGTTAGCATCGAAGCTTCTTTACATCTACACCTGGCTAACTGTAACGCTAACTTTACCTATTATCCTGGTTCCAGACGACGTCCCGTCTCCGATTTATGTTGCGATCCAAACAGAATTAAAAGAATAGACAAACGAAATGGCAAAACAGTCTGACGACTGGCTAAGTAGCTAGCTACTATCATTAGCTACTTTCATTCACCGTTAGCCACACTACCTAGCTGCGATGCTAACGTTAGCTGACATTTTGACATGTTCTTAGCTTTTAGAACTAACATCTTTTTAGCAAGGCAGGTTAATAATGAATTCAGGACGCCTCTATTCCTTTATGTCTAATCGTATAATCTACAGCAGGGTGCAGAAATATTAACTCATGTTAACTAACCTGTTAGAGACGTCAGCTGAGAGGTGTTCTTCGGTCAGGTTACTATCCCAATGTCAACGTGGGACAGACGCATGTTGTGCAACAGTGGGGAATCTTCTTCTTTTTGGAATTTTATTGGCGGTTGGCACACAACTAAATGGTGCATTATCGCCACCATCTGGTATGGAGTGTGGATCAGAATGACTACTTATTTTACAAAACAACTTATTTTAACAAAACAAACAAAGGGGGGGGGGGACAAATCCTCTCAATCATATTGTTTACTCTAAGATAATGAAAAACAATTCTATTGCACTTGTCTCTTGAGTTCTTTCTTAGAATTTCTATTAAATCAAAAAGTATTCTTTTATTTTAAGGTTTTAGTATAGTTCACTCCTTTTTTCCCATAGACTGTATATAAAAAGTTTTTTCTCATACTTCTGACAGTGTAACATGATGTGTTCGACTGTCTCAGTGGTGCATCTTCTTCTTCTTTTTCTTCTTCTTCTTCTTTTTATTGGCGGGTTGCAGCTAACGTTTAAGGTGCATTACTGCAGCCTACTATGTTTCCCTCAGGAAAAAAAACTTAAATTCTCTCCAGTTTCATTTAAAACCTCAATGCTAAATAAATTCTTAACATTCAGTACTCCATCCCAACATTTCTTTAGTTCCATCTTTAGCTTTTCTCTATATGTTTTATACACATCATTGTGTTTCTTCATCTAAGCCACATTCACACAGTCCTGATGGATGTTTCCCCATTGTTTTATTGTCTAATTGTTTTATTTATCGTCTCATTGTTTTATTTAACCATATGTGTCCTAACCACAGCCTTGATATGACTGTTTACTCTCTGGACATTTTCCCTATTGTTTTCATTCCAACCACTTTTTTCTTTATTTTCTAGCCATCATAAAAGATGACATCCTTTATTTCCTTCATCCCAATGTTTTTGCCAAGCAGTCATGACATTGCTCCATATTACTACTTTAGCTTTACTGAAAGCCACCTCCATAATTCTGTCCTGCTTCAGAGCTTGTATAGCCATTGAGTCTAACAGCTTTGTAAGCCAGATACGCCATCACACAAAATTCTATAACCTCAGATTTCAAATAGCTAAATGAGTTCTCAAAATGAAAAATACTCCTAGGAAAAGAAGACGGGGCACATCTTGCTGCCCAATCCACTCAACCTATCCACTCAGAATGCAGTCCAATACAATAACAATGAAATAACCTTCTTCCTTATTGAAGGTTAGCCGATAATTGCCATTTTTCAATACTGGTTTCTTAGACAGTGGAGTTTGTGAAGGATACGTATGGAAACAAATAAAAGAAACTCCTTTGCCTATGATGTAACACCAATTAGATCATATTAGACACTATTTGGGGCCAAGATTGTTAGTTTAACAATTACTTAAAGTATAGAAACCGAAATTAAATGTACAATACCATTTTTAACCAACGGTACTTTAAAACAACACCAAATTCGCATCTATTTCATGTATTAATTACTCCTTGGGTTACAATGCAGTGGTGGTGTCTGGCCACAAGAGGGCGCCAAACAACCACCCATTTTTAGATTGTGTCATGAAATTAATCTGTTTTACAGCTAACAGTTATGAAAAGAGTATATCAAGAACACACTGTAGGCCTATAACCTATATGTTACTGTAAAGTAGGCAGGGGACACAGGGGACTTCAGCAGCTTGAGGTGGTTCAGGTTTATTGGACTGACGCTGTTGACGCAGGTGGAATACAATAAGTAGAAATGCTTTTTTTATAATGAGGTGGTTGTGGAAGATGATTGATTTTATGATTTCCTGTAACAGTCCAGTATACAAAATATCTCTATAGCGTCCCATAAGAACATCTCCATGGAAGACAGTCTCAGCTGCCACACACTAGACCTGTGTGTGGCTCTCAAGGTTGGTCAAGTTCACATTAGAATGGGAACCAGGTAGTTAAAAATACATACAGTGTAAGTTGTGTTTAAATTTCTCCCAAACAACAGATTATTGCTCAGTAGGTCATGCTGTACCCTGTAGTAACAGAACAGGTTAGTTAGTTAAGAAATACATACAGCAAAAGTTCCCACATTGTTACCCCCTTATTACCTGTTTAACATCTTGTTCTCTTGTACCTAAATGAATTACACTGTAAATGTAGGAGAATTATGCTGTACATTGCGAGCCATAAGATAGAAAATTTGTTGTTGGTGGTGAGGATTGCCATTGACATTTCTCAACGTTTTCAGTGAAAAAATACTAATCACTAATTACTTGTTAACCTATGATGATACTGCTGATACTGTGTAAGGAATCAGAAAAAACATTGTTCACTTTGGTAACAATGGTTTGTTAAAAAGAAAAAATCGAGACAAATATGCACATCAAAGATGGACATCTCAACCAGTTGGTTGACAATTTAAAAGTGTGTGGTCGTTTTTTTTCTTCTTCTTTCTTTTTGTTGTTGCATGAACCTTATTACTTATTATTAGATCAAAAATAAAGACTATTTTAAACAAAAAAAGTGTACTGCAAATCTGTAAATGATCAGGAAAAACTTTAAAGGAAATAATGAGTGGGAAGTCATGCAATTCTCAAAAGTATGTGGAATGTCAGGTCAGGCCATCCCCAGGTCAGATGATAGCTAATAATGTAACAACTTCTTTATCAACAAAGCAGACAGCTTAAGATCTTGCATGCCATTAGAAATCATTTTAACATGCAACATTGTTAAGAGTATCATGAGGGATAAAACATGTCGTTTTGCATGACAGAGGGAATCAAAACACAGTTGACATGTTTTTAAAATTGCTATAGACTGCTTACCAAACCAATACATCATATTTGTAATAGATGCTTACTCAGCAGGACCAGGCTATGGAAAGAGTCTAAAATCATAAACAGAGAAAAAGCAGGATTTATTGGCTTCAACTGTAGACCTATTAGTATGCTACTTGCCAAGTTCAAATGAAATGGTTTTTCACCTTTAGTTGTTGTGTTGTAGTGTAATAATTTCTAGGACCCAAGTGCAAAAACACAGACAGTGAGCAGAAGTAAAGGTTATAGTTACAAACCGTAAAATGTGCGAAAATAGTGAATCTTTCTTGTAGTTGGCTGGTAAGTAATGAGAGCTGGGAAGGCGGCTAAGCACACAGGAATAGGCACCGAGGTAGACTTGCACAATTCTCCAGGGGAGGTGAGGAGCACAGGCAAAAATCACAGTCAGAAACAAGAATGTCCCAGAGAAGCAAATATCACTTCAGGTAGCAGTCGTAACCCAGTTCCAGACACAGAGAGCGGCACCGCTGACCATAACATTTTGCTTGAATAAAGAGTTACCTCTCTGGCATAACGCCACAAGTGTGCTTCAATGGCAGTTTTTTCTGACAGCAAAAAAATATTTTGCGGTGTTCCATAAGGAAATAGTGTGGGTCCACATTTATTTTTTATTTTTATAAATGACTTATCATATGTTTTTAAAAATGTCGATGTTCTTATGTATGCTGATGACTCAACTTTGTAGTCCACCAACATCAGTGGAGCTGAGAGAGAATCTATAGGTTGAGTTGTATACCAATTTTAAATGTGTGAGAATTAGTACTGAACATTGCTTAAATGTATTGTATTGTGTATTGTATTATGAATGTTCTTGCTAACTTTGTCTATCAGTTGAGCAGGCCACTAAAACCAAATTACTGCATGTTAAATAAGATACTTTATGGTCTTGGTCTGATCAGATTAATGACAGTGTTTCCATGATGGTAAAGCTCATTGCAATTTCAAGGAAATGTTTTGCATGTGTTCCATCTTCTGTTATGATTAACCAGGTAACCACAATACACAGTGAACTGATCAACACATTCCATGAGTTTTATCCAAGACAGTAAACCACCTTGTTAATCTTTAATCACTACTGTTTGATTCTTTTTTTGTAGTTTTATAAGAATTTTCCCAAAGCAGTATATCAGCTATGCTTTTGTGCTCTTGTGGTTGTAAACACCCTCACTGACAACAGACTTAACATTTTGACATTACGCAGATGCCAATGGATATTGTTTTGGTTATGACTTTATTAGATTTTTGCATGTGTAATTAATCAGAGTTTTTGCTGTGATTAGAATTAGAACACAAACTCCAATCACTTTACCAGTCTCCTCAAAGCGACCTGGTAGAACGTGGTAATGTTTTTTGTTGTAAGAGGATTCATTGATCTTGCATAAAGTTTCAGGGTTTTAGTTCTTAAGATAAGGGGGTATCTGCTATCGTAAAATGCGAATCCTTCATCCTTCTAGCAAGCAACAGTTGAGGTTTTCATAATACCTAAGCATTTTTCCTCTCCTCAAAAGACTGATTGAACATTTCAATCACAGACCAAATCCCTGAAACTCTCCAGTCTACGATTAATGAAACATATGTGAAACTTAACGTCAGTCTGACTGATTAAAACCTGGCTTTTCACACAGGTTGCTTCATTCATGTTGAACATATTGAGGCAGAAGAGTTTCCTAATTTCTTCCAGAACTCCAACACATATACAAGACACACAGCAAGTCAGTGCAAGGAATGAGACTATTATCTAATGCTGCCACTTTGCCTTATAGAGACCCCTGTGAGATCTGCAGAAATCCCCATAATGTGTGTGTGTGTGTGTGTGTGTGTGTGTGTGTGTTTCCATGAATGACTGTGATTTCCCCACAGATGTGATACATATTACTATGATGCTATTGTAGTAAAAGTTGTATAATTGCCCTCAACCCACACACACACATAGTGTTAACTCACACACATCTGTCATCTGCATATGTGTTGTCCCTTTGGGTTTCATTCAGTGTTTTTAAGCATTCTATAAGTCACAAAACCAGCATTCTAGACTAGTGCACGCCAAATGAACCAAAGTGCACCTGTCACGGGACAGATACAGTACAATGTGAAGCCATATTCACGCTAGCATGAATAAAGTTGAAAATATGAGGTGTCAAACAGCAGATATGTGGACTAAAGTAACATGACTAGAACTCCAGTCTGACTCAGGTCACAAATCTGGTGACTTAAGCTGTTGGTCTCGAATTGAGACTTACCCATGTTGACTTAGGACTTGTTGCTCTTGACTTGGTACTTGTTGGTCTTGA